GACAGCACACCAATCCTACAGACCCCAGACAGCACACCAATCCTACAGACCCACAGACAGCACACCAATCCTACAGACCCCCAGACAGCGCACCCATCCTACAGACCCCAGACAGCACACCAATCCTACAGACCCCCAGACAGCACACCCCTCCTACAGACCCCAGACAGCACATCCCTCCTGCGGAGCTTACCTTTAGGATGGGAATGGATGCATGCTGGAGCCTTGTATACTTTGTATGCACATATGGAGAAGTGCCAGAGACTTGGCATGGAGGGAAGAGGCTGTGTTGTCGGGCTGGGACGCCTTGGAGTGAGGCGAGGCGCAGGTCCTCAGGCTCGCAGCCCTGGGCACGGCTCAAGCAGCTTCCATCCGTCTTCCTGGAACGAGGCCTGGCCATGCCACGATCAGCAAGGCGTCCTTCAGAAACACTCCTCCCGCTCCGCGTTGTCAGGGTTCGGGTTCCAGCAGCAGATGGGGCTCCCAGCCGTGGTGGGAGCTGAGGCTCCCATCCCGTGCCCATACTCTGGAGGGTATTGTGAAGACGCGCACCCCAGCAGCCACGGGAAGACCTTCCTGCGGCTTCAGTGCAGGGAATGGCCAGCGCCTCTCCTGCCCTGTCCTGGCTTTGCCTTGGGCTCCCGCCCCCGCTCAGGCCATCCCTGAGGGTGTCATTTCCATTCCTGAGCCGCTCATGAGGTATTCAACAACGCAGAACCAGGCCTTGCGGGCGCCTGAATGACCCAACCCCAGGGGAGCCGGGACTACGCGCTTTCCTTAGCTCCTAGAGTTCTCTTAGTTTTGTGCTGATACTGGGGCTTGAAGCCAGGGCATTGTACCCACACAGCCGGCACTCTACACCGTGAGCCGTGCCTCCAGCTCTGCCCCAGGAGCTCTGTCTGTGGCTGTACCTGGCGTGTGCGGGCACTGGAGGAGGGAGCAGGTCCTGGCGCCCGTGGCGCTGTGAGCCTCAGGCCTGCCCCTGGAGCTCTGTCTGGCGCCCGTGGTGCTGCGGGCCTGCCCCTGGAGCTCTGTCTGTGGCTGTACCTGGCGTGTGCGGGCGCTGGAGGAGGGAGCAGGTCCTGGCGCCCATGGCGCTGCAGGCCTGCCCTGGAGCTGTCTGTGGCGCCCCGTGGTGCTGCAGGCGGGCGCTGGAGGAGGGAGCAGGTCCCGGCGCCTGTGGAGCTCCTGGAGCTGTCTGTGGCTGTACCTGGCGTGTGCGGGCGCTGGAGGAGGGAGCAGGTCCTGGCGCCCCGTGGTGCCTCAGGCCTGACCCTGGAGCTCTGTGGCGCCCGTGGCGCAGCTGCGCTTCCTCTCCTTTCAGAGCATGGGCATCTGTTTTGTCGGCAAGAGGAATTTCGAGCACTTCATCCTTCAGGTAAGTATTCTGACCACATGGACCTCGTGTCCACTCCAGACCTGGGCTCCATCAGTAATGGAGCTTTGTCTTCAGTATTTGCAGCCGCGGCCTGGGAAGTTTGTTTCTGTGGAAGACAATAAAGTTCTGGGAACACACAAAGGTGAGGTGCGGTCTCTGGGTGCTTTCCGCTTCAGCCCTTGTGTGCGTCCTGGGTGTGCTCTGGGCGGTCAGCCTTGGGACAGAGGCGCTGGCGGTGAGCCTGACTAGTGCCTTGTGTGTGCCAGGGGCCATGTCCCTCTGGGTGTGTGTGTGAAGTCCCTGAGAGCAGAGTGCTTTTCTTGCTGGGGAAGTTAGCTGTGAATTGTAGAAGGCTACCCTGATGATGGTGATGGTGCAAGGCCACTCCAGCTGGACGAGGGAGGACCACGCGGGCGGGCAGGGCAGGTCCTCCACAGAGCGCCATGCTGGCCGCTGCTCAGCAGCTGCAGACGGTTGTGGAGCAGGGCCACGGGACCCGCACTGCGCTGGGCGTGGGCAGGATGGAACGGGGTGAGCCTTTGGGGAGTGACGTCCAGACCAGATCTGAGACTGGGTGCTGGGACGAGGCCAGCGCAGTGCTCTCTGGAGATCTGCCAGCCCTGGAGAGACCAGGGCAGCGGCAGCCTCTCTGGCCATAGGGCTGCCTTGTCCAGCAGCCGGCGGCTGAAGGACTGATGGAAGTCACCATAGCACAGTGAATCCTGGGCGGTGCCTGTCAGTGCACACGCCATCTTGGGGGTCTTGGAGTTGGAGGGGACAAACGGGTTACCCCGACATCAGCCTGGATGCAAGGGGTGTGCATGACAGCAGGCATTTGGCACTCCCCCCCCCAAAAAAAAAAGACCCTGCCACACCGGGGTTGAGCAGGGCGAGCTGTGTTTTCACCCTGGTTCAGCCCACACTCTGAAGGAGCCGACTGGCCCCTTGGGCCGAGTGCAGTAGTCACTGGTGTGTGCCAGGCTTCGGATCCTGGCACAGCGTGGATCGTTGTGGGCGCTCAGGCTCTGCAGCCTCTGCTTTTTGGGTATTCACGTGGACCTCATCCCTGGTCCTCAAAGCAAACTTCCACAGGTTGGTTCCTGTATACATTGGGCCAGAGAGCAAAGATCAGCGGCATGCGAGAGCCCTGGTTTGTGGTGGAGAAGGACAGTGCCAAGGGTGACGTGCTTGTGGTGAGTGGGCGAGGCTGGCCTTCATGCAGGGTGCAGGCCCGGAGGGTGGGGGAGCTCCTGGCCCAAGGCCCCGAGTGGGTGGCGGGCATGGGATGCTGGGGCTCCTGGGGTTGGCCTGATGTCGCCGAAGGGCTTTGTTCACGTGCATTAGGCTCTCACTGTATGCTGCACATCCACCCATCCTGTGAGTGCCTAGAAATGCTGGGGTTTTACTGGGGAGACGCAGAGCAGTGGGAAACGGTGACGGTCTCCCGAGAAGCTGCTCATGGTCCCAGCCCAGCCAGCTCGTGTGGAGGGAGAGCTAGGGTTCCCGCTGGGGCCAGTAGGCTGGCCAACCAGGCCCACGCCAGGTGCAGCCACACGGGCGCTGCCTGCACCTGCAAGGCCGGCTCGGGAGGTGGCGGTGGCGGAGGGGTTGGGAGTCTTGGTGGGGGTGGGGGTGGGGTAGGAGTGACCCTCTGTGCACTAGTGCACAGCCTGCCCCGCCCTGGCAGTCCCCAAGCCTGCACTGGTCTCAGGCATGCCGAGGCTAAGGGCTTGCCCCGGCAAGCGGGGCCGGCATCTCTTGGGGTGGCCAGTGCTGGGGACCTCTTGGAGCCAGCAGACGTTACCTGCTGACCTAGGCTCTGAGTGCTCAGTGCTGCGGCTCGCCACCCCAAGCCCCTGGGCTCCCATGCTCCTGGCTCCGCCCCGGGAGCTTTGCTCATCAGAGGCGCCACCGCAGCCAGGTTGTGCTGTGAGCACAGCCGCGCCTCTCCTGACCGTTTGGAACTGGTGGGCTCCCGGCCCTTCTGAGAAGTGGCCAGTGCTGAGGCTGGCCCTCAGCCCCAGGAGCAAAGCCTGCGTCCTCAGACGGCCGTGGAGAGTGTGGGCCAGGCTCCTGTCACTTGGCCACCGCCGGGGAGAAGCTCGGTCTTCCCTCTTGTGCCTCAGTCCTCATCCGCACACCAGGGATGAAATGGCCTTGGGCTGGCTGAGTACGTGGGCACACACTGCTGGTCCAGTGCCAGCCGTCGGTGCACCTTTGCTGTGAGGACCGGACCGCCGCTGCTGCACTCGGCACGGTGAGCTTGGGGGAGGGTCCCAGATGGCCTCCCCACCTCGCGCTCTGCATTCCGCAGGCCCCCAGGACGGACCACCCTGCCCTGTACAGGGACCTGCTTCGCACGGGCCGCGTGCACTGGATTGCAGAGGAGCCTCCCGCCGCCCTGATCCGGGACAAGATGATGGAGTGCCACTTCCGATTCCGCCACCAGATGGCACTAGGTAACCGGGCAGGGGGCCATTGGAGCTGGGCCCTGGGGTCAGATTTCAGCCTGAAAGAGGAGCTTCTCAGCAGGAAAGTATTCCCTAAGTGGAGATCATAGAGCCTTTGTGCTGCTCTGTGCCTGCCGGAGGGCAGGGCCCCTCTCTGGGTGCTGGGAGGGGCACGGAAACCCAGCCTGGAGGAGGTACAGGTGTGCGGGGCTAGGTGGCAGTCCTGCCATGCCCACGGCCGGGGTGGCGCTGAGCTGCCCTGGCCCCTAGTCCTGCCCCTCGGAGGCTCCTCACAGAGGCCGGGCCCTGGGCAGCTGCCGCCCCGCCCCCGAGCCAGGGTTGAGGGCGGCCAGTGAGGCGGAGCCACGCCTGCTCCAAGCCTGTCTCCCCGCAGTGCCCTGTGTACTGACCCTCAATCAGGATGGCACCGTGTGGGTGACAGCTGTGACGGCCGTGCGGGCCCTGGCACCGGGGCAGGTGAGTGGGGAGCCGCGGGCGTGGCGGGGACCTGGGCCGCGGCTGCGCCCCTCCTACAGCGAGGCCTCTCTTCCAGTTCGCGGTGTTCTACAAAGGGGACGAGTGTCTGGGAAGCGGGAAGATCCTCCGGCTGGGGCCGTCCGCCTACACGCTGCACAAGGGCAGGAGCAGAGCCAGCACAGTCCCCGACGGCCCGCATCGCGCACCCTGACCGAGGCCGAACCCCTCAGGGAGGCAGAGGCCGGAGCCCAGGGCCGGCAGCCGGCGGGGAGGCCGGTGGGCGATGGGCGAGTCGGGTGCTGCCTGCTCCACGGGGCCCGGCTGGCCCTGCGCAGGTGATGCCGAAGGACCGGGCTGGCCAGCCAGCAGGTCTACAGTGCCTGTGCCACAGCCCCGGGGTCAGCTCCGTGGGCACGCGTGGGTCTGTGCGGCTGCGGGCTCAGGCAGTAGCAATAAAGCTGTCTGGAAGAAGGATCGTGGCCACTGTGTCAGGGCCAGGTTCGCCCGAGCAGGCCGCCGGGGCCTCGCAGTGCACTGCTGTGGGCTGCTGGCCGTGTTCTGTCACGCTCTCCAGCGGGACAGAGGCGGCAGCACCGGAAGCAGCCTTCGGCAGGGTGGGCGTGGGCTACTTTCCTATGGAGGCTGAGGAAGCGGAACCTCGCTGTGTCCCCCCAACAGTGGCCTCAGTATTTCCCAAGGGTGAAAGTAGGCATTGGTGTGGGGCTCTGGGACGGAGAACCCTCTTTCTGGACAAAGCAAGCATAGCAAGGGGTCCCTGGGAATTAGAGTGTGGGAGCCCGGGAGGGTGAGCAGAGGCGCGGGCGTTGCTGTCAGTCTCCACGTGCTCGGACCCAGGGTCAGGTGCACAGGGAAGGCCGCACCCGAACGGCAGCATGGCGGAGGGCTTGGCTGGTCCACCCGCTCACGGGCTCGGGGCTATGGCCGGACTTCACTTGGGCGTTTGCTGTGTAAGATGAGGCCAGCCTCAACTCAGATTGCTGACGGATGGCTCGGTGCCAGGAGCTCCCGCACCGGGAGGGGCCCTCACGGGCTCTCGAGGCCAGCTAACTGGCGTCTAGTAGAGAGAAGTTTAAAGCAGAGCCGCATTGTAAAATTCTATTTGGAGTGGAAGACGTTCCCTGGATTGGCTTAGGAGAGGAGGTGAGGGAAGAGTCATGGGAAGATTATCATCAGGAAGCCACGTCTGCGGACGGAATGGAGGGTGAGGGAGCTAGAGCATGCCTGAGGAACCAGCCGGGACAGCAGCATGGCTCTGACAGCTGGCGCTGAGGGCCGGGACTAAACTACTGGCAAACATGTCTGGCTCCAGAGACCCATTTCGGGAGTGGTGGGTCATGTCTATAATCTGCTTTGTTGGGAGGATTGTAGTTCAAAGCCAACTAGGCAAAAAGAAAAGCAGAACCTTATTTCAAAGAATGGTTTGCTGGCACACAGTCATCATCTCAGCTACCTGAGACGGAGAGGTAGGCTCGTAGTCCAAAGGCAGATGGCACAATAATGGAAAGAAAATGGGAGTGAAAAGATCTGGGGGTGAGGCTCTGCAAGTGCTGTCCAGTCAGAAAACAAAATCCCAGGCCTGAGGAGGGCCTGTCCCCCGCGCCGGCAGCCAGAGCCCGGCGGGAGCGCTGCAGAAGACTCGAGAGCCAGGTACAAAGCAACATTTAATTTATTGTGTTCTAGTCCGTGTTGTGCCAGTGCTGAGAGTTAATAAATACACTTGTTACAGACGTCCAGTGTTTCATCTCTTGCAAAGTTTCAAGTCATAAAAATAGGTTTAAATTTTTCCTGTCTTAATAAAACTGACAACTATTTTTTTTTAAACAATTCAGATCAAATTAAAAAGTAAAAGGGCAAAATCCAGTCACAGGTGGTGAGGGATGGGGACACGCCCCACAGCGAAGGCAAGCTGCTGCCGTGAGCCCTGGCTGCCTGGCCCACCGTGCCCCAGGAGACGCCCGCTGCCCGCTGCCCTGCGTCTGAGCCACTGCGCGGGCTCTGCAAGGCCTGTTGGTCACGCACAGGCCCGCACACCTCTCCCCCTGCCCACCGGAAGCCTTTCACATTCAGTGTCTTACACACACCGCCACTCTGCCCACTGGAGGTCTGTTTTTGTTGTCCATCATAGGGCTTGAACTCGGCCTGAGCGCTGTACCTGAGCTCTTCAGCTCGAGGTGAGCACTCTACCATTTGCACCACAGTGCCACTTCCAGTTTTCTGGCGATTTATTGAAGAGTCTCACAGACTTTCCTGGCCAGGCTGGTTTTGAACCCTGATCCTCAGATGTCAGCCTCCTGAGTAGCTAGGATGACAGGCGTGAGCCACAGGCATCCACCTCTGCTGGAAGTGTTGCGAGTCTTGGTTCTGAGTCTGCCTGTCGCAGGTGTGTGCACGCTTACGCGCCGCTCTCCCCTCGCCTGCCAGGGGCCTCCGGCATGTCTGGTTCTCTTGTATTTGGAAGCACCTGTGCTGGTCTTGGGTGGACACCCTCTCTGAAGAACAGGAACTGCGGGAGGAGATGTGTCTAGGGAGTTTGGGCCTCGGCCACACTCGGGTTCACAGCCATCCTCGGTATGAATTTCCAAAATGGTCACCAATGAGAATACTGTGGCGTGGTCTCGGCACAGTTGGTTATTAAAGCAAGATGGCAGCATAGGCGGGGGGGGGGCAGCCTGCCTGGGGAGTGTGGACGGGAAGATGGGACATCTTGGAAGATGTCCCTCGCTGTTGGGCTCCCACCAGGAGCTGGAGGAGTCAGAGGAATTCCCCGCAGTCCCGGCTTGCTGGGAGGGGCCCACGCAAGTCCTGCTGGGCCAGAGGACACCCACCTTGCTGTGCCCTCGTGCCCTGGGGCCCCCCTGCCTTCCGGAAGCAGCCGCAGCACGCTCAGGGACTCTGCTTGAACTTCGCCACCCAGCTCTCCCCGCCCGGGGGCTGCTGGGACCAGTGTGTCTGCAGCTTCCCAGACTCTCCGGGTAGCAACAGTTGCACGAGGCACGGTACGGGCTTCCGTCTCCTCCAGCGCAGAGCAGGCAGAGGCTGAACAGTCATTCACTTGAAAAAGATGGGGTTGGTTTGGCAGCGGCCGCCAGGCCTCCGTCTGTGCCGGGGGCCCTCACATCCTGGTGAGCCCAAGGCCTGGCCCTGGCACTTCCAAGCAGGGTCGTCCTGGGTGCCGGCCCTGTGGCGTGGCTTTGGCTCTGTGTGGTCTGAGGACCGAGCTATGCCGGTCTGGAGGCCTCGTTCCCTTTGAGACAAGCCTGTGGCTTTGGCACTGCTCAGGGCGCCCGATGGGCCCCAATCCCCGCCCCGGCCGAGCGTTTCATGTCCGGACCATCTGTGGGGCCGCGCTCGGGCTCTGCGGTCCAGGCTGGGACGCACGCGGCTGGGGGGCGACCAGTGCCTCATGGTTTCCTGACGGTTCAAATTGAAGTTTCATTACTGCCTCTGCGTGCGGGAAGAACCGGCAGCGGGTGGAGGGTCAGTGCGCGTGGAGCTGGCTGGAGCTCCTGCGAGGCAAGAACCCCCTCTCGGGGTCCCAGGGGAACGCTGGTGCCTCCCCCACCCCGCTTCCCGAGGCCCCGGAGGCCCAAGCCACTCACTCGGAGTCGGAGCCGTTGGCCTGGGCGCTCCCCGTGCACACGCTCATGGCCGCGCCGTTGCGGTGCTCTCGGCCCGGCTCCCTCCACGGGGCCGTCACGCTGATGATGCCCTCGGGGGCGCGGACCCCGTCGCCGGAGGCCAGGGAGGATGTGCGCGAGGACGCGGGGCTGTGCTCGCAGTCCGCCAGCTTCTCCCGCAGCCGGCACTTGAGCGGCTGTTCGGGCAGCGGCGGCGGGTAGGTGACTTTGTTCTTCAGGATGCCTGGGAAGAGAGCGATGCCAGCTCAGCTCGCCGTGGGGGCCGCAGACGGGGGTGGTCCCGGGGCGAAGGAGCCAGCCTCGACCGGCCGCTGCTCTCCCCTGCTCCTCCAGGTCTAGCCGGCCGTGCGCGGCCCGGCCCGGCCCCTCCACGCACCTTTCCTCTGCTCGGCGGCAGGCTTGGCCAGGCCGCCGCTGCCCCGGTTGGGGGGCCGCTCGCTGCAGTGGTTGCCCTGCTCCGGCCGGTGCAGCTCCACGCTGACCTTCGTCTCCACCTTGAGCCGGGGCTCGGCACCCGCCTCCTCCTCACTGTCGCTTCCGGCCAGGCTCTCGTCCGGCCACTCGCCAGGCACGTGGCTGCCCAGAGCGTCGGCTGAGGCAGAAGCAGATAGCCCAGCCTGATCACAGCCCGGTCCGTGCCCAGCCGCACCCCTGCGATGTCCCGCAGCCCCTGCAGCCCGGTCTGCGCCCGGCTGCACCCCTGCGACATCCCGCAGCCCAGTCCGCGCCCAGCCGCACCCCTGCAACATCCCGCAGCCCGGTCCGTGCCTGGCTGCACCCCTGCAATGTCCCGCAGCCTGGTCTGTGCCTAGCCGCACCCCTGCGATGTCCTGCAGCCCGGTCCATGCCCGGCCGCACCCCTGCAACGTCCCGCAGCCTGGTCTGTGCCCAGCCGCACCCCTGCGACATCCCGCAGCCCGGTCCGGTCCGCACCCGGCCGCACCCCTACAATGTCCAGGCCTATGGCTCCTGTCCAGACCTTACACAACTCCCTGCCCTGCAGACCTGGCGAAACTGTATCTCAGGACAGAGAAACAAGTCCACGCAGGGAGGCCCTGACCTGGGGGGTGGGGGGTCCTGGGCCGCAGCCTGAGGCAGTGGTCCTGCCTTTGCAGCCCGGCTGGGCGCAGCTGGCAGCAGAGGGCGCCAGCCCTGGGCGCAGCGTGCGTGCCCCAGCCTGCGGGCACGGCCGGCCTGGCCTGCGCGCCCGCTCTGCTCACCTTTGGGGGTGCTGTGGACAGGGCCCCCGGCTGGGTCCCACTGCTCCTCAGCGTCTCCGCCGTCGTCTTCGCTGTCCGAGGAGCGGGATGAGGCGTAGGAGCTGCTCTGCTCGTCCAGGGACAGCTCGCTGTCCGAGTCCGAGTCCGGGCCTGCGGGGGACGGGGGCTCGAGCTCCAGCCTCCAAGCACCAGGCCACCACCCTGTGCGCTCCTGGGGCCGGGGGGGGGGTAGCGAACAGAACTAACGGGGCCGGGGTTCTGTGCCAGGAGCCCATACCGTGGGTTTTCGTGGGGTTCCTGGGGATGAAGTTTGCCTCTGGCTCCCCAAGGCCTCCTCGTGCCGGCCCGGAACACACGCTGAGCTTCTGGAGCCCTTCGTCCCTAGAGAGGAGACGGGGCAGCACTGTCACTCAGAGGGACAGCGCCACACAGCACCGTGACACAGGCTGGGAAGCCACCAGCGTGCTAGAAGATTCCCTCAGACCAGTGTTTTCACAAGGCAACAGCCTCCCCCAGGGGTGAGCTGTCACCCCAACCCGCAGGCACAGCCGGAGCCTTCCGGCGGGCGCGGCTGACCTGGCGGTGCTGTCCAGCGAGGCGGTGGACTCGCCCAGCGTGGTGCGCAGCATGTCGGGGCCCTCGCTGAACGTGTGGTTGCAGTTGAGGGAGCGCTGCGGGAGGGAGGCGGAGGCGGTCACTGGAGGGAGGAGGCAGGCTGGGGCCACCCGCCAGGGACAGGCCGCCGGGAGCAGCTGACCGGACGGGGGGAGGGAAACATCGCCCGGCCATGCCGTAGTCACGTGACCCCTGCCTGCCACAACCGATCCTCCGCCGGGGCCTCACGGGCCCTGTCCCTGTCACAGACGGCGCCCCCCCCCCGGCAGCTCCTACCGTCAGCAGGGTGGCCTTCGTGGGGGACGCGTCCTCCAGGTGCGGCTTCTTCCCGGCCAGCACGGCCCTCAGGTGCCTCCGCACCTCCCTGTGGAACAGGCAGTGGAACAGGAGGACGAAGAGGCCCTGGAGGGAGCGGGTGGCAGTTCAGTGCTGGGAACGGCCGCCTCCGCCCGGCCTCCCCTCCAGAGGGCGCTGCTGCTTCCCAGGCTGGGCCCTGAGGCGCCAGAGCAGATTTGAGGATCACCATGTGAGGCCAGCCCAGGCAGACTCTTATCTCTAATGGTGAGACTTTAATCACTAAAAAAACTGGAAGGGAGGTGTGGTTCAAATGATGAGTGCTAACCTTTGGGGGATTGGGGGGGGGAGGTAGGGGAGTAGTGCCCTGGCCCAGAGTTCAAGCCCCAATTCCAGCTTAAAAACAAACAAAAAGCTGAGATACCTGGGCAGGATGGAGGCAGACATGTTAGAGGCAACAAGTCCCCATACTAGTCCACAGCCTTTGGCCACCAGTGGTCCCCAACACTGTCTCCCAAATCACTACCTGGCAGCCCTTAGTCCTTCCAAGTGACTCTGACGGCCTTCGTGCTGGCCCAGCATGCGCCCACCACACCTACCTGCAAGCAGCTGAAGGCCGCAAAGAGGCAGTGGAAGGTGAGCGTGTCGCCATTCACGGCCAGCAGCCCCAGCAGCCAGGTGGCGCTAACGAGCAGCAGCAGGACAAAGGCCGTCCTCAGCAGGGAGCTGCGGGGGGGGGGGGGAGTCCACAGGCTGGTGAGTGAGCCGCTGAGGAGCCTGGCCCGCTGGGCAGGGGCACTTAATGGACTCCTGAGCACACACATGCACCAGCCCTCTATCTACTCATCTATCCAGCCACCCATCCATTCATACATCCACCTGTCCATCCTTCCATCCTCCACCCACCCAGCCAGCCACACATCCACCTACCCATCTATCCATCTATTTATATCCAGCCAGCCAGCCACACCCATCCATCCATCATCTACCCACTCATCTACCATCTACCCATCTCTTCATACATCTATCCATCATTCACCCACCTATCCACCAGCCCATCCATTCATTCAGCCATCCATCTACCCATCCATCCATCCATTCACCCACCCATCCATCCATCCATTCAGCCATTTAGCTCAATGAATCCTATCCCAGTAGTCAAGTTCAGCCCCCAACTTACACAACCCCCTTTCTTTCATAGTAATGGTGTTTTCTTTGGCAGGAAACTTTTGCAGACAAGACGAAAATGACTGTATTGATCTGGAAAAACAACAACAGTTGGTGGCTGACTCTTCCTGTTGGCCAAGCCAGTGTTCACCAGCCCATCAGTGGGTCTTCTCCGCGTCTCAGGAGCGGTGGCTGACGAGAGGCCTTGGGCCCAGGCCTGCGGGCGCAGCCACCCCATGGCTGCCACGGCCTTTCCCAGGGGAGCCAGTCTTAGGTCACTCCTTTCTGCCCCCCAGACCCACACAAGGAACTGGTGACCCCGAGAACGGCACTCACGAGGATCATGGCTCCAATGGGCCCAGCCAGGCTCCAGATGAGGGTGTCCTGAAGGGACAGCCAGCAGAAGTCGGGGTTCCCGTAGCCCTGGGGGTCCAGGCCAACAGCCAGTCCTGGACACGTCAGAGAAGAGTGAGGAGCACAGAGCCTGAAATCCACCGACCCACGGGGGGAGGAGAGGCGCGAGGCCAGCCGCGGGACAGCGGAGACAAGAGCTGGGAGCAGCCATGAGCAGCTGGGGCAGCCCTGCAGTCAGCCCTGCAGAGGCCGGGGCCACGAGGACCCAGGGGTGAGGGGGGAAGGGGCTGAGACTCGTAGCAGGGCGGTGTCGCTGGGGGACGGGGGGCGGATACACGCATGCGCACATATACGCATCTAGACCCGTGCACGCGTACACCACCACACGTACGTGTGTGTACACCGGCCATGCCGGTGCACGTAGGGGCCGCCAAGAGCCCGCTGTCCGCTGGCCACCCAAGGACCAGCCAGGAGAAGAGGGCATGCCACGCGCCACAGCAGGGTACGGTTTGGGGGCTTGGTGCTCGGCGGTGCCTGGCGGCCCCGACCCGGGCTTCCCCGCCCGACCAGCCGCTCCTGCCCTCCCCGCCACTATCCTCATCTAAATGTTAGGATGGTGTGCTTCCTGCTGCCTCCTCCCTCCCTGAGCCGTGCTGTGCCTCTGGCCAGCGCGTCCTGCCCGCCCTCGGGGCGGTGGGTCCCAGCCCGGCGTGCGGGTGCCCACCGCGGCGGCCGCTCCGCGTGGCTCACCTGTGATGATGGCTGGGATGCCCCAGCCCACCACGTGGTAGAACCTCATGGGCCCGGCGTCGATGTTGCGCAGCTCGGTGAGCATGCGGTAGACATGCAGGTGCTCCACCAGCGTCCAGGCGAAGGCGCTCATGTACACGTAGTGCAGGAGGATGGCCACGACCGAGCAGAGGAACTGCGGGGAGGCTGGGGCTCAGCACGCGCCCGCGGGGCTGGGGACAGGCCCAGGTGCGCAGGCGGGGTGCGGGCGAGCCCTGCCGCAGCCACGCGGATGTGCAAGCGAAACGGACGGGGGGGGGGTGCGGGGAGCCGACAAATCAAGCCACTCTGCAACGTGAGGGCTTCCGGGGCCGCTGCTGGTTTGCCGGGAGCGGCTGCGCACGCATGATTTCAGCATCTCGGGTTTGGACAGCCGAGAGACGCGGCGGCCCTGCCCACATTCGGACCACTGCCACCAGGAGTGGGGGCCGCTCGGGGCTGAGCAGGGTGAAGCGGTCCATCCTCAAACGTTCGAAATACAGATGTTCTGATATGATTCCAATTTTTCAAACATTGACGTGCAGTTTAAAGGTGTTAAAAAAAACCACTGTGGAAATGGTGCCTAGTGGCTCATGCCTGGAATCCCAAGGATTCGGGAGGCAGAAGAGCAGATCATAGTTCCGGCCAGCCTGGGTGACCAGCTAGAGAGCCCCACGTCAGAATCATGGCGTGTGCCCGTGAGCCCGGCTGGGTGAGAAGAGCGCAGGCAAACACATAAAGTCCACCTGAAAAATAACCAAAGCAGCCGGGCGCCGGCGGCTCACGCCTGTCATCCTAGCTACTCAGGAGGCTGAGATCTGAGGATCAAACAGCTAGCCTGGGCAGGAAAATCTGTGTGACTCTTATCTCCAATAAACTGTTCAGAAAACCAGAAGTGGTGCTGTGGCTCAAGTGGTAGAGCGCTAGCCTTAAGCTGAAGAGCACAGGGACAGCGCTCAGGCCCAGAGTTCAGGCCCCATGATCACCACCACCACCACCAACAACAACAACAACAACAAAAACCCAAAGCAAGCCCGAACTGGGGTATGCCCGAAGTGGTAGAACACCTGCACGGCAAACTCTAGGCCCTGAGTTCAAATTCCAGGAAAAAGACCAACCCAGATGTGGCCCAGAGAAGCGTGACGGGGCCTCTGGCAGCACCAGGCCATGGCTCCCCTGCAGAGGCCCCCAGCAGACACCCGCAGGTGATAGAAACCTCTCCCAACAGGATGCAGGCCAGCACCAGGTCACTGCACCCCAGGGGACAGGTCAGCAGCACAGGCTGGCGGCCTCGTGACAGGGCTGTGGGTGGCGAGGTCAGCCGGTGCAGGCCGGGAGCTCCCTGGAAGTCGCAGCGTGGCAGGTCTGGCATGCCCATGCAGGACAGAGGAGGAAGGCGGGAAGGCTCCAGCTGGGACCTGCCCTAGGCTGTGTCGGAAACCAACTGCAGGGGCGAACCCAGGCCAAGGAAGCCACCCGCACCCCCGCACCCCCGGCTTCCTGAGCGAATCACACACCGCTCTAGGGAAACCAAGGGGGCGAGGAGGCTGGCTGCAAAAAGCAAACCCACAGAACTCCTGTTTGGGGGTGGAGGGGAAAGTGCTAGAAGCCTGGCCCTGGTGAGGAGGTGTGTGCACACTCCGGCACCGAGGGAGCCACACTGTCCAGATGCAGCGCAAAGACACAATACCAAGGCCGCATAAATCGTCTCAGCCTGCCGGGGCTCTGCGGGGTGAAAAGCCTCTCTGGAGACAGGACTGCGAGCCGCGCCCGTGCCCGGCCCTGGCCCTGCACACCTCCTCCCGGCGTTCCCGGGAGGACCTCCCGCAGGCAGGCGAGGAGCTGCTTCTCCTCTGTCCACACCACGCAGGAGCGCGCGGGAAGGGCTTGCGAGGCGCCTCTCACCCCTAAGAGAGCCCCACACATGAGGGGGGTGGGGGACCCCCGGCCCGGGAGCAGGTGCTGGGATGGCTCCCCACGCCAGCCCTGGCCAGACCCTCGGACGGGCTCCCCACGCCAGCCCTGGCCAGACCCTCGCCTGAGGGGCCTGGGAGATTTGGTCCTTGCTCCTGATAGGCCCAAAGCCTTCCTATGGCTTTTCTGGGAAACTACCAAGTTCACCAACTTTGCCTTGGCAAAGTTAATTTTGTGCCAGTATTTGGGGCTCTCGAACTCAGGGCCTCGTGCACACACTGAGCTTCATCGCTCAAGGCTGGCGCCCTACTGCTTGAGCCACACTTCCATTTCTTGCTAGTTCACTGGTGACAAGAGTCTCATGGACTCTTCTCCTGCCCAGCCCAGCTTCAAGCTGGGATCCTCAGCTCTCAGCTCTTAGCCTCAGGAGTAGCCAGGACTACAGGTGTAAGCCATAGGCACCTGGTCACCTGCATCTTTTTTATTCTACTCTTGGTCCAGGGTCTGTGCTTCAGTGTCCCCAGACTCTGAGTTCTCACCCCGACTCTCCAGCCCTTCACGCCACCCAACGCCTCCTCCCCTCCCCCCTTCTCTAGCTGCTGCTCCGTCCTTGGTTCTGGGCCTCCCTCACCCACCGTCCTGGCTGCTTTGCTGGCCCCTGCTCTGGCCTCCACCCACCATCCCCCAGGCTCCTCCCTCTTTCTTTTTTTGGGGGGGTCCGGTCGTGGGGCCTGAACTCTGGGCCTGGGTGCTGTCCCTCAGTTCTGAGCTACAGCACCACTTCCAGCTTTTTTCTTTTTATTATGTGGTGATGAGGAATCAAACCCAGGGCCTCAGGCATGCAAGGCAAGCGCTCTACCACTGAACCACAGTCCCTCTTTCTAGAACATACACATGCAAAAGCTTCTCCAGGGCGCCATGCTGCAGGTGAACAGAAGATGGCGCCCCCTGATGAAGCGCTAAAGGTCTGGAAGCCTGGATCCCCAAAGAGCTCCCAGCCCCCGCCCCGGCCCAGGGATCGGCTGGCCCTCCCCGACCGACCGCACAGCTCCCCCGCCGACGCCACGCTGGGTCTCCAGCAGGCTTCACGTCTGGTCCTTGTATCTGAGGACTGTATATCCGAGGATAGGAAAGGTCAGACGCACAGAACTGGCGAGTGTGTACAGACCTTTCTTGTGCCCTGAACGGAGCAGCACAACAACTATGGCACCGGTTCTGGGGAGCAGAACGGATCTACAGTGCCACAGCGGGTACGACTGAGATTGCGATGCAGGAAGTCCGACATCACAGACTAGAACCTCCTCTACTTCGGTATCCGTGGGGTCCTGGAACCCCGTAGGGACGGGGCGCGGGGGGGGGCAGGCAGGAGCAAGCATAGGATGGCGGCTCTGGAAGATGGATCCCTGCCCCAGACAAGATGTGGCCACGTGCGAGGCAGGGGGCTCGATGGTCAGGGTGACCTTGACCTTTTGGAGTCACTGCCTAACAGGAGCGTGCTCTAGCTTGCCTGGCGGGTCCCTCAGGGGCACAGTGCCTGCAGCGGTGGGGGGCCCAGGCGGGTCTCAGCGCTAACCCCTGTGGGGGCTGAACATCTGAGCCGGGGCTCTCTCCCCTGAGAAGCCGCGCTCTGCCCCCAGCTCTGGGGGAATACAGCGCCCTGGCCGCCCCTCCCGC